ATGAGTAAGTTGCCACTGCCTGATGACCGAAGTGTTCTTGCTGGGGTGTAGGTGATGAGCATATCTGTGATGTACTAAGGTGCAAGGCCAAGTAGTGCTTTGTAAACCAGGAGTAGTATTTTGAAATCGATTCTCGTTCTAATGGGTATCCAATGTAAATGTTGATATTTGTTGGTACCAGTGAAAATACGTGCAGCTGTATTTTGAATTAATTGTAACCTCTGAATACTTGATTTTGGGAGACCAGTGAATAAACCATTACAGTAATCCAGTCTACTTGTTATAAATGCGTGGATTAATTTATCTAAGTCTGATTTTGACAGAAAGCCCTTCAGTTTGGAGATATTTTTGAGATGATAGAAATATGATCTTGTAATGTGGTTGATATGACTTCTGAAATTTGGATTGCTGATGATAATTACACCCAGACTCGTAGCTTCAGTTTTGCTGTCAAGAGAGAGAGAGAGTTGAGATGTGCTGCAATATTCTGTCTCTGAGCCTCTGCACCAAAGATGAGAATTTCAGTTTTGTCTTTGTTTAGTTGTAAAAAAATGTCTGACATCTATTGAATAATATCTGAGTGAGGGATATGATGGGTGATAGGTAATCTGGGTGTAGTGAAATGTGAAGTTGCGAATCATCTGCATAATTATGGTAACTAAAATTATGTCTGCGTATGACATGTGAAAGTGGAAGCATGTAGAGATTGATAATGCCAGTAATTGAAAAACAATTTCTGGAACATGTGGCTGTTCCATCTTCTAGGACAGCCTGGAACCACAAACTATAAGTAACACTGTTACAGTCACTGAGGTAACATTAGCTAACAAATGCTTACATTGCTAAAAGGAGAGGTAAGTGACGCTAATTGTTATTCTCAGAAGTTTTCTGAAGATGTGTAACTTTTGAGTCATTTTGTGACTATAAAGCGTTGTAAAATGTAACACCCCACAAGCTGTATTTAACTTTATATCACTGGGAAAGTAGCCAAAACTTAAAGAGTTTCAGGCAGCATCTGAAAAATGCTGAGATAAGAGTTCTTAAGGACCCAGCTGTGAAGCTACTCTACCGCTGCCCTGGACTGACATGATGAATGGTAAGGCTCAGTATAATCAGTTCACATGAAAAGTTATTCTCTCTCTCTCTAAAGGATGGGTAAATGTCAGCTAAATGTTTAAAACCATCACTGGTACTGCTTGTTTGGACATAGACAGAATCAGCCGTCAACTTACATAAACTCTAAAATTACAGACTACAGCCTCCGACAGTATTCTTATGATCAAACTTCAGCACTGCAGGATTTTTCATCTGCTTTATTGGACCATGTTAATCATAGCCTGGCATATCCTCTCTGTCCTGAAATTCCACACTGCACCATGTTAGTCCATGATTGGCTTCCAGGCGAGTTGTGAATTCACACGTTGTAAAACTGAGATATTAAGGTGTGAATAGAGAAAAAAATCCCCCTTCAACAGACATGTGAGAACAGCTTTTTTGATGAAAATGTCTCTGAAGTGAATAACAAATGGATTGTTTTTTTGAGAAAGAGAGCATCAAATGGACTGTCAAACAGCTTTTTCAGAAACATTAGATGAGACTAAGACTGATTTTTAAGATCCTTCTGGGAATGAAGCCCTGGTATTAAATGGTTTTGAAGCATTAAGATTTAATTTTTGACATGCTGCTTTTAGATTCTGAAAACTTTTGATGAACCATTATCTTTGGTAAGTGGACCCTGATGAAGAGTGGTTTTCTGAGAACAGTCTTCTAGACTGGGAACCGACTTTTAACTGCTACAAAATAAAAGTTTACCGGAGTGAACTGTGCAGACTTCACTCTGCTCTCAGACACAGACAAAAAAGAAAAAAAAAAAACACTGCCTTTACTCCTCTTGTTCCTTCAGTGGGAAACGGAAAGGAGCACAGACTTTGTACTACTGACCATCACTCACCCTCCTGTCCCTGTTCATCTTATTTATGCGCTTGCTCTTGTTCTTTCAGTTTAACGAGTCCTTCAAGTCACTTTCTTTTGAAGTCTTAAGCCCTGCAATTAACATACAGGGGACGCACAGCTAAAACCCAGCAAAGAAATAGGCGTGTATAAGTCAAAGTAGCCTTCAAACAATCCTCACAACATAGAGAATGCACTCTGGTTTTCAATTATTGGACATTTTCTTTGCTCTTATAGACTACTTTGGAAGAGGTAGCTTCCATACTCTGAGTGCTGTGGCCTTTTAGAAAAAGGGAAAGTTTTTGACTGAAAAAGTTTGTTCACATTTGAGTAATCCTGAGAATTGAAAATTGAAGAAGTCGCCAACCAAGTGCAATGAAAAGTAAGAGCAGCCTTGTGAAAAAAAAAAATACTCCTGCGCTGACACAAGCAGGTGAGTGTTGGTCTTTTGAAACACAGTAGCTGCCAATTGCCCTCTTGATGGATTACATCTTATACTGTAAAAAGCTTTCTTGAGTGACGCCAAGTTTATGCATCATACTTAAAGACTATGAGTCACTGCATCAGAGCAGCTGAGAGTCAAAGGGTTTTCTTCCCTTGGTGGTGAAGCATGCACATAAGTAGTGGGAGTGGGGCAGAAAAGGCAGACGCTGAATGACACATTACAGGAAAACTGAACAAAATGACACCAGTCATAAAATGCTGTCTTGGATAGAAAATAGGGAAGGAACAAACAACACAGACCCTGTGGGCTCTTGTAATATCATATATGGACAACTGCAACTCCTTACTGGCACACCTCCCTGCATGCACAACCAAAATTCTGCAGGTGATCCAGATTGCAGCAGACCATCTGGTCCTCAACAAACCCAAAACAGCTGACATTTTTCTGCTGCTCCTCTCACTCTGATGACTTCCTGTTGCTAATCGCATTACATTCAAAACTTCTTAAAACAGCATCAAAAACTGTTCTTGCCTACCTAGAACCCCTCATCCAGGTCAGCAGTCCCAACCGCCCACTATGCTCTGCCACAAAAAGTCAACCCCCAACAACTTGAAACTGTTCAGTTTTGCAACTGTTCAATTTTGCACATTAGATGGAGAAAAGTTATATTTTTTTAAGAAACAGTCTGAGCCTTGTTTATGTAATTGATTTTTTTTTTTTTTTTTTTTTTGTATTTCAAAATATCTATATACTTATTTCGGAATCTTATATTTATATTTTTGAGCAGAATTCTAGCTTTGTATAATGTTCCTATTGTTAAAAGCACAAAAGTGTGTAATAAACAACTAGCACATATGTATTTTGCATTTTGCTTTCTTACTGCATCAAAAATTAGCCGAACTGTGACCTCAAAACTGTGGTAGATTTTTGTCTACTGTTACACCCTTAAGGATTGTTGTTTTAGTTTTAGGTCCTGCTGATTCAAATTTGCTCCGAACAGGAGAGTCAATCTGTGAGTCACAGCCTGCCAATGAAAGAAATGATGTTTCCCATTTATAATTTACGGCTTTTGTTGCTTCGTCAGAGAGTTTCAGCCCCGATCTGTGGTTTGGGAGCCTGGTGTCTCAGTCACTGTAGTTTGGCTGAGCAACATAGCTTTCAGGAACGCCAGCAGAAAGGCACAAATAACAGATTTCTTCTTCTATTGTGGTGGCAAACACATCCCAAGGTCCCTTGGATGACTTTGCTATTTTTAGTGCCCTGTGTTAAGGGCTAATGAACAGTTTTGTTAACCACTGTAAAGTCAGGGACGAGAATCTAGCAACTCTAGAATCAAGAGTCAACACAGTAATTCTCACAAAGGGGCAAAAACCTGATTTCAAAATCTGTCCAAGCTCCGTCAGGGTATTTAGTCACTGTGAAGTCCCTGTAAGTGTTAGTGTGTACATGACGGATTATTTATCTCTGTTATAAACTGGTGACCAGTCCAGGTTGCATCCTGATGTTTGCATAAGGACATTTGGGGTAGAGGCCTCTTGTCCTCCATCATGAACCCACTGTCTGATAAAAACCCAATAAATAATGAAAAAAGTGCCGCATCACCCAGACACTTTTCTGCAGGAGCTGCAAGCTGAGCTGCCATTCAGTCTAACTTTATTTCCCACAATGACAGCAATCTTTTTGTTCAATATTTGGCATGTGCCTTTGGTAAACTCTGGGAAACAGACATCTCACAGGAACAGGATCTCTTGTGAATGAGTGTTGTGATGCACCACATTTACCACCCCAAACTATTCCTGCTTCCCAATCTCTGAGTCACCAGAGCTGAAGTTCAGTCACAGCATGTAGAGACTGTTAAACAGCAGTGCAAGGAAGGTTATTAGCCTGTGCACCAAGGGTCAGCCTTACAACTCAAATCTCCTGCATATAAATGAGAAGCCTGTGGACCAAAAAGACACTTTCCTGCAGCCAGCAGACTTTATTTAACACATTATTTGACGTCTGAGAACACACTGCACCACACAAGACAGTATAAAGTGTAATGCAGGACACAGAGTGTAATACAGAGTGAATGTGGAGTGCTGCACTGAATAGAGTCTGTGTTGTGTTAAAGTAACATTAATATTTTTGCATTCCTACCACTGATGCTTGAAAGAGATCAAATGCCGGGTCACAGAAGTCATTCTTCACAAAGCTTGGCATGTGACCAAATTTTATTTAAAATGACAAATTGTGCCGAAATGACACTGTTTTCAATTTAGGCTGTTAATCAAGTCTTGGCACACAATTATATAGCAATCTGTAGTATAAGAAAAAAATGTGTAGATGTGAGGGTGAAAGCATGCAAAATACCCATTTCCATAGCAAGATTAAACATGTTAACAGCCATAGTTCGTTTCTAGATCCCCTCAACTAATCTGCTGTGGTTATACTAGTGGTGTTGTGGATTGTGAAAAGCAGGTGGGATTCATCTTCTACAAGACGGTACCAAGGAGGCTATTAGCTCAACTTGCCAGTTTATTGATGAGTCGAGAGTTAGTCAGCAATTTCAATATGGCAACCAGTAACTTTGGCCTAAATAGGCTGCCACAGGTGTAGACTAGCACGTTGAGCACCCTCCCCTCCTTCCAAGTCCTCTTTCTGTCCGTGTCATGAACTTTGAATCATCATGTCCCATTAGAGTCGCTAATACAGTCTTTTTCTGGGACTTCCTGTGACTCCATCATGGCGTAGGTTCCTCTGGATTGCTGCTGCGGATGTTCGAAGGAAAATACGTTGAAATATGTTCCACGACGATTGCAAGTGCACACCCTCATCACCCCTTTTCTCTAAAACATCACTTCATGTGTCAAAACAAGGGCCACTGTTGGACTTTTCCCACTCTTGACCACTACAGTATGAGAGTGTCTGCTGTGATGCTTCCATTTGATAGTACAGGAAGCAGGCAAGCAAGCGTGAAGCTAATGACAGAGATGGATATGGAGGAGAGGTCAAAAGAGAGACAGATTATGTTTGATAACGCATGTCAGATTCAATCACAGTCATATCATGCAGCTAATGAACTCATACACATACTCTGACAGTGGTGAAATTCCAATTTGAATACATTAATGTCCAGATCTAAGGGGTTAAATATGAATATACATGCATGTGTGTGCTGACTGTACTCTGTGTCCCATTGACTAATGTATGTCATTACTTTGTCTCTGCTGCATTGCTTTAATTTGTTTTCAGCTACACTTATATAACCTATAATGCAAATATACAGGGAAACTTATGCAGCAACTAATTGAAAATCTCCACATCTTATTAAAATGAGAGAACAGCCTTTAGATGTTGAGAACCGAAAGCCCCCACTGACCTATTTTAACATACAGGTAGGGTGAAGTAGCTTCTTTTGCTGCTTTAATTAGAGCTCTCTTTCTAATTGTGCCTCAACTACCACAGAGTGGCGTCTCCAGAGACTCTCTGTGCCGTATATAGCTGAAGGTGAGGAATGAGCTCACTTTATTTGCATTTGCTTGAACGGTATGTGTTTCTTAATGTGCATGACAGTTTGTCAGCGACCATTTGGCCTCTGACACCCACGAAAATAAACCAAAAGGTTGAGCTAAAAATACCATTCACCTGCACTGTGGCCAACACCTAATCACAGTTGCAAACTTTTTTTTTTTTCTGTACAAGCTGCACCTGCTAATGTAACAGGAGTAGCAACTTCTTTGTCATCATCGGTTTCTTAATTTTTCAAGTGAAGCTTTCTAGCAGTTGCCATGGGGACCAGGCAGTATGACCCAGAAACTTCATTTATGATCGGAACCTCTTTTTTTTTCTCTTTTCTTTCCAAAAAGACAAACAGCAACAAAAAAATAAATAAAATCAAACATAACTTTCAAGTTTTCCATTTCAGCCACCAATTTATCACTCAAATTTTGCTCAGCTACAATCAAAACTGAGTCGTGAACATTTGAGCGAGATGAAAATTCAACCATGGGAAAAAGAAAAGTGCTAGATCCCAAATTTCCCTGCCTGGCCCCAAACTTCAGGGTCCTTACATGTTTTATGTTGCCTTAAAACGAAGCTTTTTTCTTTTTAAATTGAATCCAATACAGATCTACACACATTTGGAGCTCGTCAAGTGGCCCCTTAAAGAACTGCAGTTTATTACATTTCAGTGTTGGCATCACATTTCAGCCTTAAAGAACCACTTTGATCAAAATCATGTTTTTCTTGCTGTCACAACTTCATATGTCATTTTTCTGATGCTACACAACATGTCAAGAGAAAACTAACCTTCAATTTCTACCGCATCCGGAATGGCAACGAAAAGACCATATCCGCCGATTGCAGCTGAATGTGTCGATTTTCACTGGCTTCTTTCCATTCCGCTGCGGATCGCCGGATGACGCAGCTGATTGCAAGAGTTGTTTTTTTCCGGACACCTGAGCATGCCGGATAAATTCAGCACAGATCAACCTCTGATGGAAAGGAAGTCGGGCACACACATAAAATAAAACATCCGGCCTCTTTTCAAAATAAAACACTACGTGTTTCAGGCAGATCGTATTTCACACCATGCAAACGGGCGGGGACAAACAAGTGAAAGGTTTTTAGACAGCATTTTACCCCGATGACACCATGGATGAGAAAATGCTGATTTTATAAGTCTAGAAGTAGATTTCCTCCTCTGGAAGGACACAATCTACTGCTTATATGGTCATGTGGCTGTCTTTATAGAGACAACTCATTATTGAGCAATTGCACATGAATCCGCAGTTACTTGTGAGTTCTTGCGATTCCTGCTGTCCGTAATCAGCAGAAATTCACCTCACAAATGGATGCAGACCAAACTCAGAAAAGTAGAAAGGACGATAGCTGAACAAGTGTGTGTGTTAGTGGATTGAAATGCTCGTAAAAAAAAAAAAAAAAAAAAATTATATCATCATGTCCCTAAAGACATTAGTGTCCAGGAGCTGAGAAGCTTCTATATTACCTGCCACTTCTGCTGCACCAGCAACATCAGGCTGTAAGCTAGCATAAAAAGGAGTGTACAGAGCAGTGCTGTCTCCGCCCACGACTCAGAGGCGGATTGCTCATGAGCTACTGGAGCTCTGCTGAAGAAAAAACCTTAAATGACACAGGAACTGTGATTTGGGTTAAAAAAAAAATTCATAATCTCAATTTAAAGACCACTGAGAACACTTTAAGTAGCAAAAAAAAAAACAATCGGAGTGGGGCTTTAAAGGTCTCATCTCATGTCTTTTCTACAATCTTTTCTCTCCAATTTGTTCCTTCTCCTTGATTCTTTCTCCTCTTTTCTAACTGGATAATTTGCCATCTACAGTTTCAGAGATGAGAGAACCGGCATTTATTTACTGAGACTCACAGTCGACTGTCCCTGACCCCTGTCTTGCAGCCTGTTACTGTGTCCTTTCACACAGAATCATAGAAAAATGAGATGGCTGTTGTGCACTGAGGCACATGTCCATAGATGCAAATGGATGTAAACTCACAGGAGAAGCAAGGCATGGATGTAATACACAGTGGACTATTGTGTGCAAGATGCAATTATGTGCAGAACTGTGCATGCAAGGTGGTTGTCTGATCATGCACAAACATCTATACATTGCTGTTGACCTGCGCTCATCACCTGGATGTAATGCAGACAGACCTCCGACCCTGAGGGTAAATGATTGTGTTAAACAGCATCACTGTCAGAGTGCAGCCTGTACTCTGCATGCACCATCCCTGCACAGTCACATGTTGTAGATGCACTGGTGCAATAAAAAAGCCCTTCTACTCTCCAAGCACCAGGGGCGATATCCTACATGTTCTCCTTGATATGACCCTCCTTTTATAATGGTTATATCACTGTTTTAGTGGAAATAAAAGATAAGCTGGTATGGTGCAGTTCTGAGTTATGAGAGGGCTGGAAACTTCAGAGAAGAGGTGAATGGAGGGATTGCAATGCTGGAGTGTAAAAATGCACTTTTCAGTCTTTTTGCCCTTGAAAGTTTTAGTTTTCTTTTAGTCTACAAGATTTAGGCCTCAAGCCCTTAACACAGTACTTAAGTCCCCTTGCATGAAACCTGTTTAAACAATATATTCAGTCATTCTTATTTCTCAAACTCTATAGATGAGAATGTAGACGAAGCTTGATTCATACTGGGAGTCAATTAGCAAATTTACAGGAGGCGGCAGGTCTGTAAATGTGTGTGTCTGAAGAGCTGAAGGACCAAATGAGCATGACAAGAGAGGAGCATAAGCGCTAATAAGCTAACAGCTGTAGGCTTAAAAGTGAGACATCTGAATCATTTAAAAAATACGTGTCCCAGTCTTGACATCATAAAAGACATTGTATAAAAGCATGAAAACAAAAGAATGATAAGTTACAACCTGCAGCTTGTGATAAAATGTAAGCAGTGTCCAAAATGTCTCCCTGGGACTATAGTTGTGCCTTAGAAGAGTGAACTTTTGTTACACATCTCATTTAGAGATTATAAAAGTAAAGCAGCTTCTGGTAATGTGGGGTTTTTTAGACGGAAAAAAAAATCAAAGCAAGAAAAGTGGACTTCTAATGAAGCTCTGAAAAAAACACCCACAAACTGAGAAATGTGTCATTTGTTAGACCAACTTTCAAGAGACTAGATTAACTCTGACACATGAGGCGCAAAGATCAGTAATTATTCCTGACACTCTGTTTCTCTGGAGAAATTGCTCAGCAACGGAAAAAATGCTTCACAACATGAAGTGTACACAGTTTAAAGCTTTTCCTACAATAACCAGGCTTTTAATATGCACTTAACTGTCTGCTAAGCCCACAATTTGATCGGCGGTTTGCAAACCTGACACCATTAAGACTTACACCAAGACGTTAACCTTGTCTCTTTAATTCCATGCTGTCTCCTGCAATGATTTTTTGTTTGTGCCGGGTTATTGTGAGTTGTGCCTATGATCTGCTGCTGTTTTGTATGCCCTTAGTCATGGACATTCACAAAACAGCCACAACTAATCTAAGTCGATAAAAAAAAACAAAAAAAACAACTGCAATCCTATATGAGTGTTTAAAGAACTTTGCTGCACAACTATCCCAGGCTGCAACAGTATCTGGGTGTGAAAGAAGCCAGAATGGAGTGGGTGTTCTTGTTACAAATACAGGCAGAGATACAAAGAAAAAGAGACACGCAGAACAAGATCATGACATGAGCAGTGAGAGAGCCAAAGGCCAGAAAACACAACCTCGAAGAACAGTGGGAGTAAAGCAGAAAGAACAACAGCAAGATGGGGGTGACGTGAAATATTGATAAGCAGAACAGGCTGGATTTATCTAGCTGTGGAACAAAAGAGGATTTCTTCAAAGACTTTCCAAGGTTTTCGCCTTTAATACAACCAAAAAAAAAGTAAAAAACACCAACTTTATGCAACTGATTTAGTGTCAACATAATTCAGTCAAAATTCAAGGTGGCAAACAGCAGAACTGCCACCTTTAAACTGCAGGGAGCTGTGCTGTTGGCATATTACAACAACTCGTAAGAAAACAAAATCACACAGTCAATATGTCCATCAGTAACTTAGACTCATTATGTCTAATTAGAGTCACTAATATGATCTTCTCTGGTAGTCCCTGAGCTCCATCATGTCGTAGGTTCCTCTGGATTGCTGCAGTAGACATGTTGCTGCTATAGACCTTCCCGCTCTCCAGGGGCCTCATGTATCAACGCTTGCGGCGCAAGAAAACCTTGCGTACGCCAAAATCGGCGCACACGTCCAGATTTATCATCGCGAAACGAGCGTCGGTTCCAGCGCTAATCAACGCAAAGTCAGGAGGTGGTGTAGAAATTGGCGTTGAGCTGGATATTTGCGTTGACTGTGATTCGCACTTTGGCGACGCTGTGTGGCGGTGTTTGGTGACTCACTATGTGACAAGCGTGCACCACATCCCCGTGGCCGGGCAGCACGTCGCCCCACATGACGAACCAGCAGCAGACGGAGGGATGCGAGCTGATCCCTGCCGGGCCGCCGTCCTCGCGCGGGAGAATCTCATCGCCACAGTGTGAATGGGTAAGAAGTGAATACACAGTTCAATGAGCCAAATTAATTTATTTTCTCCACCAGACGCTCGAGGAAATTTACGAGCCGGTCCAGCCGCTCGTTGATCCCCGCGATCCCCCTGATGATTTCTTCCTGCGATTGCAGGACCCCCTCCGCGAGGACCCTTCCACTGCGTCCGGGTGGTCCAGCGGAAGCGCCGCGGCTGGTGGACGCTCCACCGCTTGTCGGCGCGCTGGTGCTGATGCTGGGGCCGGGGGCCGGGGTGGCCCGAATGCCGCTGGTCCTGGCCGACGACTCCGAGCCGGCGGACGGGCTGCCGCGGGCCAGGGTTCCGCAAGCCGGCGACACGGCCGACACATTAATTTCTGTGACACAATAAAAATATTAGTTCATTTCAATTCCTGCTTCTGTGTATCTGTTGCGTTTACATCTCTCTCCACGGTATCATAGGTAATGTAATCCAGTATTTCGAGGTCAGTTATGCACATTACAGTTGTTTATTGCCTAAAAAGTTATCGAAAAATGAAGTTAAGGGCGAAGTATAAATCACGTCTAAAAATAGACTGAATCCCGACGTTGAAATGAAGTATAAACTTAGACTAGACGTCTAATATACGTCTTTTGCTCAGTGGGATGACAAAGCATGTGGACATTTGTGTGACACGCCACTTACCCTATAATAATAATCGCCACCACCCGCTGCTCAAACGGTGTGAGGGTCTCCTCCCCCGGACCCCCACCTGTCTGGCCGGTACTCTTCCGGAGGGCAGCTGTACGCCGCTTGACCTCCACCTTGAGGTCCGACCACTTTTTTTTAATCTCCGCGGGGGTGCGTGTCTCGGAACCCACCGCATTCACCCTCTCGCAAACTTTCTCCCACTCCAAGCGTTTTTGTTTTGCACTGACGCCACTGGACAGGCTGCCAAACAAAACACGCTGTCGCTCCTCCGCCTCCGCCGCCAGCACCTCCACCTCGCACGCCGTAAATGTAGTTTTTCTTGTCATTTTGTCTGCGTGCGAGGACAGGGAGACCCTATTTAAATAAATCTGCATATTTATAGGAGGGCGTAACGGGGACGGGCCCAGTCACTCCGACATCTGCGCTCAATTCCACGCTGATTGGGATTTATCAAGGAAACACACGTGGATTTCGGCGCCCGCACACATTGATACATACGGATTTTTTTCAGCGTGACGGACCTTGCGTGCGCTCGTTTCTGGTATGAGTTCCACGCAAGTGTTGATACATGAGGCCCCTGCTGCTTTAACTACAAGCATCAGTCTCAGCAGATGACTGTCTAACATGAGTCTGGTTCTGCTAGAGGTTTCTGCCTGGTAAAGGAAGTTTTTCTTCTCCAGTGTTACTTGCTAAATGCTGCTAAGCGCTACTTTTATGAGGGCCAGTTTGACTATAGACTGTTAAGAGTGTTAAGAGAAAATGGAGCTCCAACCAAATTACTGTATTTTTCAGGCACTAAGGCACACCGGATTATATGGCGCACTGTGAATGAACGTGTCTACTGTATGTTCAAACATAAGGCGCACCAGGCTTTGATTGGTTTATTGTTGCTAGCACGTACTCCGGGCCCGGGCTGCCTTACATAAATGCACTTCTAGTTTAGACATTACAGCAAGGCAGTCTTGTAGACTGCTGGACAGACTGGTCCTGTTACGGGGCCGATCAAGTAGTGACACAGCGTACCGTAATGCCCCGGATACCCATTGAGCAGAGCGGCTTCGTTGCTTACAAAAGTCGTACTTACAAATTTTGACAGATTTTTGAGCGCATTTTACCACATAAAATCGGTCAGAAAGCACGACAAATAATCATACATGAGGTGCGCTGATAAAATTGAAGGATTTTAAGTGCGTCTTAGAGTCCAAAAAATACAGTATCTCGTGATACCAGTCCTATGATGAGAAACACAACTAGGTTGGAAATATAAGACAGTTTCAGTTGGACTATTGTGGTAATGGGTATTTTTTTAAAAAAAGGGCAATTTCAGTCAGGCTAACACAAAAAATTGTGTCTTAACAACACATGTAGTGAGTGAGCTTGAACTCATGTTCCCAAAAAGTTCTTGTCTGTAAAATTCTGTCAATTCTTTCAGAAATTAAAAAAAACCCTGAAAATATTCATATAGTGAGAATAAGCTTTTTAAAGATTTTCGTTCCATTCTACTCACAAAATAGTTTGAAGGTAATCTATTACCTTAATCTTAATTTGTATTTAATACGGTGTGTGCTGCTTTCCTCTTGGGCAGGTCAGCCTCGTAAATGAGATCTGATCTCAATGGGACTTATTTGCTTGAATAAAGGTTAAGTTGTACACACAGAATATTTATCTTGAATGCAAAAAGACTATTGCCTTTTAAAACTAATTAATACTGAATTAATTCGCATGGATGGGAAATATGAGAAAATAATAACGAAAGCAGATTGAAAGTGATAAATTATCCATGAGGCATTATGCAAATACTGAACAACAAGGCAACATGATATGCAAATGTGATGCTATTTTTAGTGTTAAAACACAATCAGTGTTCATTTGGGATGAGTGTACTTGCACACCTGGCTCAGATTATAGCAATTAAGAGGAGTGAAGAGGTGGATCAAAGTGGGACATCCGGGTTAATAAGAAGTCTTTACTTATTACACTCTTTACTCCAGAGCTGCGCTTGACATCTTCTGCTTGAGTAAAATGGAATTTCTCACAGGCCAAGAAAATAGAACCTAAATTCTAACCACTAAACCAGTCGTATTACATTCACTAATAAACGTGATTACTGCTTTATATTGTAGTAACTTAATGTTTTAGGCAGATCAGTTTCTCTAGTCTGAGACATTTACCAGAAAAATGTAATCACAGAAACCATGAAGTTGTTAGAACTCTGATTGAGTCATTAAAACTTGTCTGCGTGTGTTTATTCAGATTCAAAGCTCAATGCAGAGCCAGAAAGGACATGAAAATCTGACTCATGTTGAAGTCTTAAGCCTTGTAATTTGGTTTAGTCATCCTATCCTGCACCAAACTGGGTTATCAGGCAAAATCACACACCCTGTAGTCAAATGAAGACACGATTAGCATTGTGTTTATTGGTCTGCTTGCATCTTTGCTTAACTACAAGCATAGAGAATCATCATCAGCACAGCAATAGACAATCAGCGTGGAGATTTCCTGGTCAGACATGTGAACTATACGGTGGTGGAGGTTCGTTTACCTGGAAAATGGAGAACCAACAATTTGTAGTGGTGTGCAGCTCCTCTTTACCATTCCAACAGGAGAAAAAGGAAGCTTGGTCAGATTATCTGGTACATTGTATAAACACAAATAACCAAGTACAATTAGTTTAGGTTTAACTAAAGGACAGTGTGAAGTACTTTTGTCTAAGGAACTAATTTAAAGAATCTGACAGAGTTTTCACTCGTCGTGACTAAACAATTTAAACTGTCAGCCAATTAGACAGCCCAGCTGTACTTGCTGTTTGAGTCCCGTCTCTGCTTTGTGTGTCCTCTGCTTGAATATCCTTTCTTTTAAATATATTTTTCCTTGTCTGTCCACATGCAAACTAAGCTGTTAGCCTGGAGATAGCGTGTAATTACCAGCAGAGAAAGTGCCTAAATTGACATTCTCACCGCCTCTCGGCTCAGAAAGGTCCTCCTAAGAGGCTTACAGCATGACAAACCTGCTGCGTTAATAGGTTAAGCCTCCCCGCAGCCTTCGCTTCCCCCTCCACCTTCATATATTTGTTGTGAGCGCTCTCAGTCATTTTCCTGTCTTTCTCTGTACTTTCCCGTCTTTGTCAGCCGCTCTTTCATAATGCAGTGCCTTACTTGCTGCTTTTTTGTCTCTGGTTAATTAACATTTAAGTAACACATTGTTTTTCTCTATGCGAATCTTCCCTCGCCGCCCTTTCCTCTTTCCTCTCCTCGCTCCCTCATTACTGTGGCTTCCATGTGCCTCTTTCTCCGTGTCGTCTTTGATTTCAGCCCTGTGGCGAACTGGTGAGTCGATGAATGGATAATTAGAACTACACTGCAGCAGTATATAATTATGGGAGTGTTTTCATATATGAATAATGTACCACCAGGATGCTTTCGTTCCACTTGGGCTCATGCAAATATTCACACTTCAGATTACTATCTTCTGGGGCTCGGTTGTTAATCGAAAGTTAATCAAAACTGACATCCCAGACGTCTGTTTTTCTTTTTAATTTTGTTAACACCCGGCATGTGATTCATCAAGAATTACCTTGATTTCCAACATTAAGAGGTGACCCACATGAACCGTGGGTATTCTTAAACATTTTAGAAAAATGCAAAGAGAGGGGAAATTTACGGACATTACAAGGCTGACATGTGAATGAAAATATACCTTAGTTAAAATCAACATGCTGTGTTGAAATAGCCTCTAAAAGCTACTCATGCTGTTTTTATTGAAGGACATACATAAAATGTTACTATTGGATTGGATACATATACTGTGACAGCTCTTTCAAAGACAGCTCATTCAAATTCCGCCTCACTTTAGTCATCTATACCATTACTCAGCTTTTCCCTCAGCTCCACACTTTGTAAATACAGAATGCCTCAGAAAGTTGCACATAAGTGCTGATGTTAATGGAACCCGAGGCTGCTCCATCTGTAAAGACTGGGGACCACAAGCTGTAAGTAACATCATAACAGCAGCTAATGTAGCAGTAGCTAACGTAAGCTAATGGGGCTGAATTGGAGAGCAAAGTAGGCGCTGACGGCTAGCCTCAGATGTTTTCTGAAGAGGAATAACTTTGGGGTCATTTTATGACTACAGAAGTACACTGTGTCTAATTTAACATCACTGGAAAAGCAGCCAAAATAAAGAGTTTCAGGCAGAGGCTGTAGCACTTAAACGAGGGCTCTCACAACTGTCAGTGGTAGGAGAGTAGAAGATGGACAGTCTGCTCCCTTTCATCTGAGTTAGCTTTGGGTTGGACTATAAGTAACCTCATATTTAGAAACTTATGCTAACTTCAGCTGCTGTCAAAAACAAGCCAATAACAACTTTCTAGTTAGTGTTGATTTAAGTGTCCAAAGCATTTCCAAGAAATCCTTAGTGGTGGGAATTTCAGCCATTGTGGTGATCCAGATTATTTGGCCCAACTCAGCCTGAAGAACTCAACTCTTCTGTTTCCCAAAGGGCTCTTCATTGTTCCAACTTTACTTTAATTAAGTCAGTCATTTTCGGTAATGCTTTGACCTTGGGTTGATATGTGTGGATGTATTTTATGCACAATAAACCCTCATGCCTGCGTCTGATTGGCTGACACGCTGACTGTTTGTGTGTGTGTGTGTGTGTGTGTGTGTGTGTGGTGGTGGTGGTGGTGGTGGTGGTGGTGGTGGGGGGGGGGGGGGTCCTTTTATCTGCTGCAGGTAACATTTCTGAGAAGTGCTTTATTCAATTTTTTCCAAATGACAAAGTCAAGATTTGCACCCTTTAATGACAAACATATCCCAGCTTTAAAAAGACACTGACACTGATTTAAGGCTATGTCCCCTTTTTATGTTTTATTTTTTATTTTATTTATTTTTTAGTAACTGATTCCATATTTATTCCTGGCAGCTCTTTCCACATGAGTATAAACTCAACCATCCTTCTCACACCTATTTTCCACCGCTTTCATTGCTCCAGTCTATGCTTCTCAGTCGCCCCTTAGAGGTTACATCTCCACTGAGAATAAGCTGCTGTGCTCGCACACATAAGAAACCAGACTTTGGTGCACTCTCACACAAAAACACACAAATGGTTGTTTTCATTTCTTACCAATTGTCCCTCCTGCGCCCACCCTTTGTCCTACCTGAGTTATTCCCAGGGTTCTCCTCTCCTAAGAGGGTACATCTCTGTGAAATACATCTATGCATAGACTCGCACCAACACAAACTCCCTTATTCGATGGCTTGCCTTCCTCTGTCTCCTAGCCTTCTTGCTTTCTCGTCCCAGATGAGGACTTGGAACCAGCCAGCCTCCTCAGACTCTTGTCTCAATAATGTGATATCCATGTTTCCTAACAGAACCCCTGAGGACACCATCTCTCCTCCATCATGCTTCAGGAATCATTACAGCATGTTAGCCGCTCTTGCATGCACACTCCTCTTATCGCCCTACTCCACAGAGGGAAGAAATGGCCAAAGAGTCTTTTAAGAGTAAGCTTGTACTCACTGGAGCCAACCCTCCAGATGTGTGTACAGGAGCATCTGAGGTGACATCCATCATGTGCCAGACTTTCCTGTGTTACTGTTTACAAAGATGTGCTTGTTTTGTTACACAATACTTCACTTTAGATCCTACTGAGACATCTACCATTTAAAGTATACATTCAGTTTCTATCATCTTTGCTCCAAGATGAGTCACAGCAAATATAATTTCCCCTGTGAGCTACAGACCTTAAACTCACATTTGGGAATGTGAGCCTCACCGAGGTGGTCTTTGACATTTCTAGCCATAAATATCACTGGTGCAGTGTAGTTCTACAGCCATGGTGCATGTCCATCAACCAGTACTAAGTACCCCTCACCATTTAGCTTTGTGTACATGTGGACAGAGTTTAGTGCCATCAGGGTGAGAGTGCAGAGCCTACCTCTGCTCAGCAGCGTTGGTTGTTACCATTTTCATCCTATCATAATCTAAGCAAAGTTCACACTCCCATATGAACAGCTAGTAAATAAAAATCATGATCACCGATCAGACCCTCATCTCTGAAAGACTCAAGTGGAGGGTTTATCACTTGATTGACAGTTATTCAGACACAGTAGTGGACCGTCAGGGCCAGCAAGGCCTTCTCTGCTGGCCTATACCAACTTCAGAGTAAATGTATTTATTTATTTTCATAAATATGTAGATAAAATTATTCTCTATTGTCTGTTCTCTTTGTGTCATATTATATCCACTTGGTTGAGCTGCTTCCATTGTTGTATTGTTGTGTTATGATCTGTTTACTTTATTTTCAATGAATAGTTTGTTTCATTATCGTCTCTTTGGTGTCTTGACATGAAATGGTAACAATGCGCATATAATTGGACAAACTTGTTTGAGCTCACATAGTGTACTGTTTGTGGCCTTTTGTTGACTAATATCTCAAAATCACATTTTATTTTTGAGTTTTGACAGAGTGGGTGGCCTTACTTTCCTACTCTTGACTGTGAATGTGTACTTATTGGTTTTAAATGCTCTGGAAATTAAGTGTCGTTCAACTAGCCTATATTAAGATGATGTAATGTGTTAGAGGGATTCTGATGGGTTATCAAACCATGGTGTCAAATTGATGGTTTTATGAGGTATATTAATTTAGGTAGGACTAAGTGGGATGGCACTGAATGCCCAGGTGTGAAATGCACAGCCCGCCACTGTTAAGACATAATGTGAAGCCTTACTTTGACTGCGTAAAAACTACATTGAGACTTGGGATTGTACCTGAAGAATGAATTTGCAAATGGAAGGATAAGGAAGAAACCAATGTTGAGGGGGTATGAGCATTTCCTGGCCTGTGACGATGACCAGCAAATAAAACAATTCGGATTCTCGAGTTGTGCCACTGGATTAAGAGAGGGGACCGACAAACATGACAAAACTGCCTATTCTGATACAAATAAATGTCAACCACTTCTGCTGATTACAATCAGTTGGAATACGCAGACACACACGTTTGTGACATGATTAACTATAAATAATGTTTATCCCTTTGCCCAAAGCCTTATTTGGGATAATTATGTTTAGTTCAATTAGATTAAATCCTTTTTGTATGTCTAGGATATCATAATTGTCCCTGAGGGCAATCATGTCAGCCATCTACAATACTTTTATTGAAATAAGTGGTCGGTACAGCAGCTTCCCTTACAGTGGAGGGGAAAGACGACATTAAAGGCAATTTGCAGCAATGTCCAGTTTCCCAAATGTAATCAGCACAATTGAGTGCACCCATTGATCTCAGGGCTCCGTATGCAAATTGATTCATCCATGTTCCTCAAGGCAAGTAGATTCAATTAACATCCCAGTCATATGTTACTCCAACATGGTGCTAAGGAACAGTGGCGCAATGGTCTGGCTGATTTGTGACACCTTATCAAGGAAAGTAGTGTAGAAAATGAAATCCATGGGGACTCTTTTTCACTAAAAACATTCTCATCACCACCCCTGACTACTCATGTGATGAAAGAAGAAACAGCCATGGTTTCCATCCTTTTTCAACACTTCTCCAATGGTTATTTGTTTCTCGTCTTTTTCTAAGTTGAGGTATTCTTTTGTTGACCCATCAGCACACATGTTTTGGATGAGAAATGCCACTGAATCACTTCTCTAAATCTCTGATATATTTTCTGTTGCACTTCTTGTATCAAATCTAGTGGTAGTGTGTCAACAATGGCTGCATCTTCTTTTGTTTGTCAATCCACTGTGGTGGTCGCCAAGCAATATCTGCTGTCTGATTATAGCCTCATATGAAAGCCAGTCCCTCCTGAAGAACAAAACTTTGCCATAAATTCTTCTGTGTGTTTTAATTTGTTTTCAAGGGCACTCCTTGATGCATGAATTTCACACCATAGAAATGTTAAGTGCTTAATACTCAGTCTCTTTGCATAAATTCCTGCAGCAATGAGGCGTGGCATAGAGGCGATCAGTCCGTGACTCTGCTGAGGTGTTATGGAAGCCCAGGTCAATCTGATAGCACCCTTCAGCTCTTCTGCATTGTTGGGTCTGGTGTCTTGAATCTTCCTCTTCACAATAGCCCTATAGATTCTCTTTGGGGTTTAGGTCAGGGGAGTTTGCTGACCAATCAATCACACAGATACCACAGTCCTTAAACCAGGTAACCAGGAAGTGCTCTAAAACATCCTGGTAGACAGCTGAGCTGACCTCCGACCAGATAAAACACAGTGGACCAACACCAGCAGATGACGTGGCTCCCCAAACCACCACTGACTGAGGAAACTTTAGACTGGACCTCGAGCAACTGGACCTCGAGCAACTTTGATTCTGTGACTCTCATCTCCTCCTGTAGACCCTGAGACACTGATTTCCAAAAGAAATGCAAAATCTACTTTAATTTGAAAAAAATAACTATGTACCACTGAGCAACAGTCCAGTTCTTTTTGTGCGTGGACATGTAGACTGCTGTGTATTGCTCTTGTGTGGTTGTTACTAAAGTTGGTATAACGAGAGAACCAAGCATTCAGCAACATTCATCTCTCCAGGGGGGTGTCTAACTCGGTGTCACGGTGTGTTTGACCAAAACTTAAATTTACGTGGGCTATCCCTTTGAGTAATTCAACTTTTTGATTATTGAGATGCATTGTCTAAAAACACATCAGTTTGGTACCATGCATGTTAAAGGAAATTTACATAACTCATTTGCATGGCCCAGGGAGGTGTAACATCAAGAAACTGTTTCTTGATTTTAAAGGTTTAAGATTAGAATATTTTCAGTACAAAAATGTAAATTAACCTTGAATAATATTTATTTTTCTTTATTAGGAACTGAAAGATCTTTTGCACTTCACTGTCTTAAGTGCAACATAGGTTGAGAGGTCTGCATAATGGAAAAATAGCCATGTAATGGGGAAAAAAAAAAAAAGCTGATTTCTAAGTGTGTAGCTATAGCTTATCCCGCTTATATCAGAGCTTTGCAGGGAGAGCCACAAACAAACATGCACACAAATGCACAACACAGCAATGCCACGTACCACCTTTAACTATACTGGACATCAGTTCTGCTAAAAATGATTTACAGAACAAGACATAAACAGCAGAGCAAGAAATCACAAGTAGCTCAAAATCAAAAGATTTTAATTAAATATACAGGGACTGTAATATTACCAGGTACATTTTAAACATGACTTAATATGCCTATAATATGCATATTTGACGCTTAAAAGTCTTATCACAGGCCCATTCTTTTTTCTTTTTCATAGCACAACCCTCATGTCTTTATACTCACGAAGCAGAAAAGCTTTCAACATCACTGCAGTGGTATAATCAACATAAGGGGTTAAAGTTGCACGAAGCCTTCGAGTGTGAACTTCAAAACTATGCAAAGTGAAACTCTAGGCTCTTGCTTTCACAACAGTTGTGTGAGTCCCTCTGAGTTAATCCAGTGTTGCTCATCTCATGAATCCCATAAAAAGTTCATCCTTTTCTCTCTCACATGACACCTGACCAAAGTGGGTATTTTAATGAAAGTCTCACGCTCCCTGAACAGAAGCGCGTTTCTGGTGCCACTTGTCAATTTAACAACCCCTCACTTCAAGATGCACTGCATCAGCTCCGCAGTAATGAATGAATAAAGAGCATGTTACATACATGCCATGAAGTGCATATTGAGCTCATAATAACACGGCTCAGGGTTTCATGGCCGCTGTTGAACATTAACTCCTCACGGGCATAAAAATCACATTCTGTATAATCCATATGGTTCCATCAGGTACGTAGACCTGAAATATGAATCTGACTGTGATGTCTATGAGGATCTCCAATACTATCTTTATTCTTGTGGAAAATGCTAATCCTATGCTTGTCGAGCTGCAAACTGAACTAAGGATTAATAGTTTGGTCCGGTTTTGCCAGAAAAGAGTGACAAAAGGGTAGCCTGGCGTTCCCTGACCATTTCCTTTAACATGCATGCTACCAAACTGATGTGATTTTAGACAATGCATCTCAATCATCAAAAAGTTGAATTACTTAAAGGGATAGCCCACGTAAATTTAAGTTTTGGTCAAACACACCGTGACACCGAGTTAGACACCCCCTGGAGAGATGAATGTTGCCGACTGCTTGGTTCTCTCGTTATACCAAGAGCAATACATATCTTGAAGTGCTCAATTTATTCTATTTTTGCAGGGGGCGTTTCCCACTCTGGGAGTCATTGTGCAAAACTACAACCAATTACAGTTACTTGTGACAAAGTGCATAGCAACAGCAATGTGAAAAGACAGGAGTATGCTGAGAAGAAAAACATACCTTTATCAATAATTGCTGTATGTTGTTTCTTTTTTTAAATAAAAATACATTAAAGGCTGAAATAGCAAATTTAAACAAACTAGTGGCAGAAGTTGCAACATTTGTTGTTCTTGAATATCTAAAGCTCAGAATTATTGATGGTTTTTTCTTGGGTGTTCTGAGAAAAAAAGTAGATTGATTAGGTTTTTCCAGATTACGAAAAAAAGGGCAGAAATGTAACACTAAAAAAAATTCTTACTTTCCCCTCAGAAATCTAAATTAAAGCTCATAATTTTGACTGTTTATGACATGATTGGGACCTTAAAGTCAGGATTCTATTTGTTTTCTAATGATTACAACTTAAAACTTAACTATCTGAGTAAAATTTCAGAAAAAATGTGAAATTTCTGCTATTTTAATCAGAATCATGAGTAAAAACTCAGAATTAGAGAAAAAAGTCAGATGTTACAAAACATAATCCGACTCCTCACTTGACTAGCTGTCTGTCTTGAAGTAGTGTATTAATGGTGCCACCTAGAATCAGTCGGTTCAGCTTTCATCGGACCTGCAGTTTGATGGAAAAGCTGTTACTGCTCTTGAAATCTAAAGTCAAGGTTATGGCTCAGCCTACTTTTTCACAGGTGAGTTAACTTTTTCATGTCAGGTGAATTAATGTTGACTCTGAGACATGAAGGGCGATCTCTTCTGTGTTTCACTCATCTGTCCTCTTGACCTCCTGCATCCTTTGATTCTTCTCCTTTGTACTTCCCCACCTGACTTTCTCCTTTGCTCTCATCAACATGAGTACAGCTACTTTAAAATGCAGACTAACATTAAATATAAATATTGGTTGTAATAAGCTGCTTGCACAGACACTCTTTGGAGGACGCCCTAAATTATTTATATAACACAAGATCTAAATTGAACATCAGGGTTTCCTATTGATGCTTTCTAGGTTCGCCCACAGAGTCCATGGTGAGGAATGATAATTATTTAGATAACTCTAAGGTATTCCAATCATGCCTTCTTTCGGTGAAAAATACTGTACATATATATGTAAAACTAAAGTGTGGGCACAGCAATAATAAACTATTTTGCTTCAGTTTGCTCCAAAGGACTGTGGTTATATCTGCACATTTGTCTGAGAACACCTGAACTCCCACAGCTCAGCTCACAGCTGGCACAGCTCTCACCTGACCAGCTGTCTGAGAATTTGGTTAAACCTTCACAAGTTTGGCTATGAATGTGCGATGAGAGCCCCAGCTGTGCTCTATGGAGTTTATTTTTCTTTTCCAAAGCCCACAGAAATTCTCCAAGAATGGATTATGGCCACCGACAGGACTATGAATTTGGCATCATTTGCCTCAGTTACCTACTCTGACTTGACAGCAAATCCTCAAGCCATGCTAGGTAATATATATATATATATATATATATATATATATATATATATATATATATATATATATATATCAGTGGCGGCTGCTGGTCTTTCAAGGAGAGGAAGCTCATTTTTCTGGCCTACATCATAATTGTATTTGTTTATTAGTATGTAACAGAACAGAGTCGCCAAACACAACACAACAGCAGTCATTTTTAACAAAGACAAGAGTCGCTGAGGATCGGTAAGGTCTCCGGAGCAGTTAAGAACAACGGAATGAATAACTTGGAAAATGCTCTGGTAGATGTTTTATTCTTCAAGATCGCTGATTCGCTTGTTTAGCTGTCAATCAAAAAAGGATTTCGCCTCAGACAGCTCATCCAATCATGGATGCAGAAGCTTGGAGTCCGGAGAAAGTCGGGACCGCCCTCTCGCCATAGAACTCCAGTGAAGCTGGGCTTCCGATGGGCGGGACAAAGCCCAGCATTTATCCAATGAGCGTCTAGTTTCGCTGCTGGAACAACCCACTTTAAGCTTCCACATTGAAGTCAGCAGAAGCCCAGCGTCCGGCTGTTTAAAGCGCTGAGGCGCTGCGAGGATGAATGAGAACGAAGCTATGCCGGTTACCTGTGATTATCAGCTTCTTATCACAGTGTCTGAACAAAAGATGAAGGCTTTCTAGTGCGTATTTAGTTAATGAAATGTACACACAGCAGTACGTATTTCACCACTTTTTCTTTTTTTTGAGGGGGGACATTTTAAGGGAAGCCGAGCTTCCCTTGCAGTCTTAGAGCAATCGCCACTGATATATATATATATATATATTTTCCACAATAACACAGAGTTTGCTCTTGTTGCTATATTCTTTAGCAAGTTTCAGTATACTTCTGAGCATATATTTTATATTGTACACCGTGTGTAAATGAAATAAAATGAAATAAATAAATTCTCAGCAGACAAAAAAAAATCAAGCACAGGTGTGTGTAAATGAGACCTTTTTTTTCCAATGAGCCTCATTTGTGTTGAAAAGACCCCCCCACCCCCCCACCAACACACTCACACACATACGCACACACACACGTACACACACCTTGATAGATGCATGATGACTAGGCTGAAAGTGCCAGAGCAGAGACACTATTATTTGTGGAGTGCAGTTTGAGGTATATTTAACCCTCTGCAAGTGCTTTGTATCTTTTCATCTCATCGCTTCGGTTTAACAGCACAAAAGCTTCTAAATCCTTCTGTAAATCTAGCTCCGATTTGATCGTATCCTGTATTTATCTTGATTGAGAAATCTCTAACAGCTTCACTAAATTTTACTTGTATATCTTCATTTTCAGGCTCGATGCCAACAGGTATTGGCAGGTGTCTTGATGACTCAAATGTTCTCAACCTGTTTTCTCTCTCTGAAGACAGCAGCATATGCTTGCATGACTCAACCCCTGTGTTAATCAAGAAACTGCAGCCGGCAGCGACAGATAATTAACATACAAGGAGTGTTCATACTAAGTTATTTTGATTTTCTGCTTTCAGACCTAACTGTTTCAATATTCATACACCTTTGAGTACCTTTTTTAGAGCAAAATGCAAAGTATTTTCCTAAATTGTTTGTTTTCCCCTTATGTAGTGTATATATTAAGGCTGCAAAATATACTGCAAAACTGCCTAAATATAAACTTGTTTATCATATTGTTTAGCGTACATCTCTTTTGCCCTTAACTTCCCTGAAATGATGTGCATGTATGCCGCGTATATTCAGTCACTGACTCATTGCTATATTGCTGTCTTTCTTTCCCCATGTGCTGCCATCATGTTCGACAAGGAACTGAAAAGCAGACTTACCTTTTCACTTCTCTCTGATTAATATACGGTTAAATAAAATAAAAGCACTGACAACCACATAAACAAAATCTTGATCAGGCCTCAGCATTCACATGACATCCAGCAGCACCTGGCTCCTACAAGAGACTATGTTTAAATGAAGATTTACTGTGGATTGAATTTTCTCAATAACAGTCATTCAAGCGTGAAAATCAACTTTTGATTGTTTTAAAAAAAGACATTTGAAAATAAGTCTGACTGTCATTCAAGTTCTGTTGCATCACCAAATGGATTAAGAAGAACTCTTTAGAGAAAATCCTATCAGTATTTGCCACATATCATATTTTCCAGGGCTGAGCTCTCCTGCAGTAATCGTTTTGTTTTCAGGCGTGTGACTAGACATGTTTAGACACCATCACCACCACCAAGGCTTAACCTTGAACTCATCAAACTCCACTCTATATAGGAACCCCTTCAGTCCCTGCTATTCTGCAGGATTACGAGGACATGTGTCAAAAGACTTGGATGGCAAACAACATCATCTGCCTGATTTTGTAAAAATCCCATTCTGCTCAAACTCGAGTGGATATCTCACTCATCCCTCTCAGCCCAACAACACACCATTAGCTTAGCACTGATTCAAGAGAGGATGCCAGACAGATGATAATCACCCATGGAGAGACAACAGGAAATTGGCATGATGGGGATTCGGCACTCAAGTGGTCATTAATGGGACTGGTCACGTCCTTGTACGCTGATGGGAGGAATAAGCAGCAACGTGTGTGCCATAGGAACCAGGGCTTATATGAACAAAGATGTGTGGAAAAGACATAATTGAACGGCAGTATTTACAGTAACAGTATATCAGGGTTATTTCTTTTATTTCATTTAACATAAAGATTTCCCCAGTGCTTCTTTTTCCCTTGAGAGTCATGATGTAGGATATTTAATTCCTGTCACTATTGGCTTTTGCCTGACATCTCAGGTGTAAATTTTCCTGTGATTGGTCGGCCAGCAGAGCCCTGGACCTGCAGGGGAAAGGTTGACAATTAGTCCCTTTGAGGTGCCTGCTTGAATCTGCGGCTGCAGTCACAAATGAAACTGGATTGTCTAATAGGCAATGAGAGGAATGGGGTTAATAAGAGAGACATGGACTGGAAAAGAGAATAGGAAAGGGCAGAGGAGAAAGAAAGCTAACAGATAATAGCCATTTAGATAGAGATAATGTATAATTCAGTGCATTTCAGATTCCCCTGAGCATCAGCAGGGGTGTCAGTATTGAATCTTGGTTAAAATGGTGGAATCAGATATTTTCAACCATTTCTGAATCGTCTAAGATTTATTGAACACATCAGCAACAACAACCAATACTTGTTATCTGCATGAAGTTGTACAAATCCTCTCTGCCTCCACATTTCTTTCTCATTTTCATTCGTGAACTTTCCCTAAAGCATGCTGGTGAGAAGAAAAAAGCAGCTACGTCAGTTTAATATTTGATGCTGGCTGACAGAGTTTTTAGCATGCTTTCTGATCTTATTCACACCTCCGGACTATGGGAGGAAAAAATACGGCTCTGGATTCCAGTCAGTAATAAATTACCAATAATGCAAGGCTTTTTGATTCTCCAAAACAGCTCGGAGACTCATAGGATCATCTAGATAACACTGAACATGTTTGGTATTTACAATCAGAATGATTACTTACTCTGACATTGACTTTTACCCCCTAAAGCATTTCTCATCATTACTTTTGAAACATTGAGCCTTGTTTTTTCTCTTTCTGGCCCCCAGTTCCTTTTTTTTGTTTACATCTCCTTTTCTGTGGTAACATGTGAGATTACTAGAGGTGGTCTCCTTTTTCATGCTCAGTGAATAGCTGCAGTTTTTAAACAGACAGTTTCTGCCTCTAGAATTAGATAAAGAAACTCGGTAAGAAATTTGTTTCACACAGAGATGCCTAATTAAAAAGTCTAAAGGCTTGTATTCCTACTATGTGGCAATAAGGGTGCAATGTATTGCAGCATTCATTCTGTGTAACTTAAAACGTCGACCTGCTGTGATGCTTTAAGTTGTTTTCAGCATAATGAATCTTTCATTGTTCTTACTGGTGGGTCCAAGTGACCTCAATAAAGTAGATGAAGTTTATATGCAGCTTTTACCCGCTTAACCCACAATGACATGATGAGCGGAGGAAAAACAATGTCGTCACCTCGTTATGAAAGTTCTTTGTTAGGTTGGAAAATTGATGTCAACTGAATCAGCTCTAAATGTTCATATTTCTACAAACTCCATCCATTCACAAAAAAAACAAAAATGTAAATAAATTCTCCAATGTCTGCCTTTGCTTTTCCGCTTTAAACTGAAAATACATAGTTGTTATTAGTATGTCATGTTAAAAGAAAAGGGGTAGAGGGGAGTTTTTTCTTTCAATAAATGAATTAATTATCAATATAAATGACAAATTTGGATAAATGGGAGAACGCTACTGTTTTTTTGTTTTTTTTTCCTGAAACAACTATCTCAAATGCAGAAATTTTGAGCCACTGATAGCTGTCTTATGTTGCACTTTTAGCTATCCCCCTGTTAATTAGCAACAGATCAATACAGACCTCCACTGAGCCACCTTGGCCAGGGGCAGACCGATTATCAGACTTGGTTGATTATCTGTATCAGCCTTTCATTTTACTGATCGCGAATAACCGCTCGTGAGCGAAATGCCCTGCCCACAACACAATATGTTTGCGTAGATATCACGCAACTTAATTTTGACTCCTGATAAGAGGTTAGAAATTTAGATTTAATAGACATTAGCTCATGGCATGTGAGCAAAGTTTAACTTCTGAATTTTGACAAAGTTCACTGTAAATGCTCAGCTTAAAGGTGGGGTCGGCTGGAATCCGTTAAAGAAGCATCTTTTTTGTGGTGTATATACAAAAAATTTTTTAATATCAGTCATTAAGATTTAGTTATTGATGGGAATATCACAGTATCACTGTGTTTTGTTATGTCTGTGTAGTCAACATTTAAACATTTTTGAGCTGCCCGCTCTTTCTGACTATAAACAAAGCTGTTCTACACCTCCCCGACCTGATTGGTTGTGAGGCGGGCGCTGCTCCCTCCTGTTGTGAGACACGCTGCACATCCTCAAATAATATGCACAAGCACAGACAAAGTTAGCGTGCTACAATATCGGACAGTAGAAACCAACCAGAAAGTACGGGAAATTGTCTGAATCCTCCTTTGGCCATGACTGCCAACACAAGCAAGTAAATAAAGTCAATACTGGAGTCTCTGGCAGAATAACGGGTGCTTAAAAAGGAGGTAGACCGGGTCAACATCAATGAAGCGTCAATGATGGGGGACGCTTAGGGATCTTACAGACCCTGTAACCTTTCTGCTGGACAGGTAAACAACTTTAACAAAGTAAGCCCAGTGTTTGTAACATAAGTGTTGCTGTGTTTCTTGTAGAGCCGCTAAATTGTTTACCTCGGGTCCTGGAGTACGTCACTTTATCCTAGCTGTAGAAGGCCTGCAAACATTGTGTTTGCTGGTAGTCTGTTGGCGTCTACAGTAGAACCAACTTTCACGTTGACTGGGCCCCATTTGTAATTATCTGAAGTATTTATCTGCATTATATCTGAATTTAAATGGAATGTCACAAGCGAGCATGAGCGTCTGTTTGTGGAGGAGAGGAGGAGCTGAGGGGAAAAATGGTTGGTAGGGGTAGTGTTTACATTCAAGATGTCTCCCAAAAACTGGCACTTCCTCAGATCCAGCCTACCCAACCTTTAACATAAAAAGCAGTAAAAACACAGCAGAATTCTATTTTTTTTACAAACAAATTTTTATTTTCACTGTCGATGTATACCAGTTACAAATATTGGCCGTGAAAAAACCTCATCAGTTGACTCCTTCCAAATGCATATAAGACCAAATATCTGTTAATGATTTCATGAACTACTGATATTAAGTGTTGTAATCGACCAGTAAAAGCTAATATCTGTAAAATCTTATGCTCTGTTTTCTATGTTTTTGCCACATATAACAAGAAATGCTTCATTGCTGTTTGATAATGATACTCAGGTTACATGGCTGCTACCAAACTTTAAGAGTAAGCCAGTTAGTATGGTTTATCATGACAATTACGTTAACTTAACAGTAGGCTGGTCAGTGTGCATCATCAATGTAGTCTGATGAGAAGTGGAATGAAAGGTCCCTGGGATAAAAGCCAGAGGGGTGGTATGTAAAAAGCCTTTCAGCACTATGCAGGCTTGTGTTATGAAATGGTTGTTGTCATGATTTGTGAAACCAGGAAGGAAAACAGAAGAATTTTCCCCTTAACCAAGGACACACAGTAATTCTCATCAGCTTCTCAGGCAGCAATAACAGTAAAACCCAGAGAGGGCTGATGTATGCTAAGTTGAGCCATTTAACCAGAATACCTTTCCATCAGCAGCACCCGAGTGTGTGCCCCCCTGACCGGTGGCAGGCATAATAAAACAAAACGCATAGCTCCAGGAGCTAATTATGCTGCCGCTGTTAATCTGTGTGACTGCCCGTCTGTGTTGGATTGTCTTGTTTGTTGGTTGGACTCACACTGTCTGCCCTTTGGCTTTAATCTTGGCATTGATCTCAGCCATAAAAGGGAGAAAAAAAAAAACCAGAAAACATTGGGGATTTTATAGTGTGGAGTGAGAGAGAGAAAATGCCTGAGAGACAATTCAACAGACAAAATATTATGTGTTTGTTCTAAGCTTGTTGTGTATTACCGTGGCTCACACAAACCCTAGTATAAAAAAAGGGCATAAGCAAACAAATCCATGAATTGTATTGTTGATAAGATTTAAATGACCACATACACTTGAGGGAGCGATTTCATGCCGGTTAAAGGCCGTGGGAAACTTACAATTTGTCTCTTTTCATAGATGGATGGAAGTATAAGTGTGCCAGCAGTCAAATTGAAGTGTCACTGCAGGTTTTGATGATATATAATAACGTTATCTCTCAAAACTTTGTCCTTCAGTTCTGTAAGAAGGATAAAAGTTTTATTATTGTTGTTATTTTTGTGCAGCTACAAATCAACACATCACCTATTACTTTGCATTACATTTGCATTCATTCATACCAGAGCCATATCTTTCTCTCAGCGGGTGATGGGGCTCATGGGAAATCAAGTCTTCATCCTGGCAACACAACACCATCCAAAGGGGTCACTGGGATCAATACCATATGCCTTACACTACCTTTAAGTCTTTAAAAGGGGCTGTAGGTGGCCCCCGCAGTGGTCAATTGCAAAAGCATGGTGGGCATTGCACCTGCCAGACAGTACAGTAGCTTGATGGCATGTTAACATTTTAGTCCAAAACACCACTGTGTACGGTGCCCCACTTAAACCCCGGACAGCTGCATGATCCAGCCTCCGGAGAGTTCCAGATTTTAAAAGCTATGAAGCTTGAATGATCAGATAAAACTGCTGTATTAAACTGAAAGGTCACATAAATTGTCTTTTAAGCAGTGATTCCTCATTTAGGTCACTAAGGGCCGGATAGCAGCTGTTATTCTGTCATAGGAAATAATAGACTGCATTCACCTGGTGTCCAAATGGTAAATCAGTCTCTGATTAGGTGGGAGGAATGAAACCTCCGGGTCACCACGGCCATCATGGTCCATGATTGACTATCACTCATATTGAACGTGACTAGCATTCAGCTGTTTTCTCTGCCTGTCTCACTGTGGGGACAGAATTAACCGAGGAACAGGCCTCAGAATAGAAAAGACAGAAACTTTTTAAAACATAGACATGCACGCAGTTCATACGAGGTCAACCTGAATGCATTTGATCATAAACACTTCTTTTAAAATGCATTTCAAGGGAACTCAGGCAAAACAGGAGGGGACAAAGTTCCTCACAAAGAGTCTAAATTAGCTCATATCATTTTTCTTTCACTCTCTCCTGCTTCCCTCCTCGCCGAACTAAACTGCTGCCAAGGAAATCCAATTAGGAACATTTCAACATGGCTGACAAACGACTCTCCGCACCAGCCGCCCTGCTTCTTTTGTTGGATTGAGCTCCTGTATGGACGAATGGAGGACGGAATTAAGCGAGTAGCAATTACCGTCTCTCCGTATGCACACACCTACACACATATGTCCACAAATACACAAAGTTGCGCCTACACACTTTTAAACCGATGCGTGCACACAATCAAGCATATAGAAGGACCCGGGACAGCTGGCTCACGCTCAACACTCATAACCACAAGCAGAAAAACAACACTTACACGCGCTTATTTTAACCTTACATGCATGTGATTACAAACTGCAGACCGGCCAGGATAAAGCTATTCCTTGCAGTGATCATTACAGCACAACCGCGCTCTGGAAAATCCATTTTCTGCACCCTAGCGATTTTCTTTTTCTTTATAGATTATCCTCAAGCTCTTGCAGCAGCCCAGAGCTATGGTTCAGACACACCCAAACACACTCCCCCTGCATCTTGTTCTTGTACCCTTATTAGTTTCCATAAAATGTTTGCATCTTTCTCTGCTGTGTGTCTCATTGATTTACAGAGTGAATCACAGACACTTTCATGGCCTCCTAACACACCGCGCTCTGTCTTTGCAGAGGGATCGATGGACTCTTCATACAGACTATGCACCAGAATACAAATATAAAGACTACAGCGGGAAACTCATTAGAGACAGGGCTCTGACACCAGCAGGAGGCTGACTTTAGGGATAGTTTTGATAATATTAACTAGAGCCCTTTTAAACAGTATTAACAACTGCTACATACAGGCCAGAGACTCAGTAAAAGTTCATTTAAATTATAAAGTGAAAAGATCACAAAAATAAATGTCATGAGAAATATATTGCTGTAGCTCGGTAGAGTGAAGTTTCAGTTTGTTATTGCTGAAACTGAAAATTATGGGCCTTCTCTCAGCAATCTGAAACACACAGTCTGAAGAGTATGGTGCTGCGTGTCTGACTGTATTTTTACTGAATCATAGGTGTTTTGGGAATAACATCATGAGGACCTTTCAGCTTGTGGCCATTTAAGAGCTGTTTTGGTGCAATGGTGAGATTGGAAATGCAGAACATTGTTTAATGTGTAGAAATGACTTAGCTGAGGATTACGTAAATTGGAGATGAGTCTGAGATCTGAACTACTTTTAAAGTGGTTTAACAACACCTGTTTTAAGTGACTGGGGAGGTCCATGTTCAAATTAATCCATGATAATTTGTACTGGATAATTGACATTATTTTGGAAAAGATAAGGACGGTGGTGGTATAGTCATCCACAAAGGTATCCAGAACGAGTGGTTAACCGGAAATTGAGTTGACAGCTGAGACAGGGCAGCAGGCTGGAGGTAGTGAGCTGGTGGCCTGTGTCTCAACACACGGTCTATTAGACTTATGAAGTCACCTTTGAGCTTTTTTGATTGTTTCTGATGTCGTTAATTCCAACATGAATGACAGCAGTCGAGGCGGATGGGTTTTGGTCCAGCAGCTGCGAAACTTCAGTCTATGTCCTGGGGCCTCATGTATCAACGCTTGCGGCGCAAGAAAACCTTGCGTACGCCAAAATCGGCGCACACGTCCAGATTTATCATCGCGAAACGAGCGTCGGTTCCAGCGCTAATCAACGCAAAGTCAGGAGGTGGTGTAGAAATTGGCGTTGAGCTGGATATTTGCGTTGACTGTGATTCGCACTTTGGCGACGCTGTGTGGCGGTGTTTGGTGACTCACTATGTGACAAGCGTGCACCACATCCCCGTGGCCGGGCAGCACGTCGCCCCACATGACGAACCAGCAGCAGACGGAGGGATGCGAGCTGATCCCTGCCGGGCCGCCGTCCTCGCGCGGGAGAATCTCATCGCCACAGTGTGAATGGGTAAGAAGTGAATACACAGTTCAATGAGCCAAATTAATTTATTTTCTCCACCAGACGCTCGAGGAAATTTACGAGCCGGTCCAGCCGCTCGTTGATCCCCGCGATCCCCCTGATGATTTCTTCCTGCGATTGCAGGACTCCGCGAGGACCCTTCCACTGCGTCCGGGTGGTCCAGCGGAAGCGCCGCGGCTGGTGGACGCTCCACCGCTTGTCGGCGCGCTGGTGCTGATGCTGGTGCTGGGGCCGGGGTGGCCCGAATGCCGCTGGTCCTGGCCGACGACTCCGAGCCGGCGGACGGGCTGCCGCGGGCCGGGGTTCCGCAAGCCGGCGACACGGCCGACACATTAATTTCTGTGACACAATAAAAATATTAGTTCATTTCAATTCCTTTTTCTGTGTATCTGTTGCGTTTACATCTCTCTCCACAGTATCATAGGTAATGTAATCCAGTATTTCGAGGTCAGTTATGCACATTACAGTTGTTTATTGCATAAAAAGTTATTGAAAAATGAAGTTAAGGGCGAAGTATAAATCACGTCTAAAAAAAGACTGAATCCCGACGTTGAAATGAAGTATAAACTTAGACTAGACGTCTAATATACGTCTTTTGCTCAGTGGGATGACAAAGCATGTGGACATTTGTGTGACACGCCACTTACCCTATAATAATAATCGCCACCACCCGCTGCTCAAACGGTGTGAGGGTCTCCTCCCCCGGACCCCCACCTGTCTGGCCGGTACTCCTCCGGAGGGCAGCTGTACGCCGCTTGACCTCCACCTTGAGGTCCGACCACTTTTTTAATCTCCGCGGGGGTGCGTGTCTCGGAACCCACCGCATTCACCCTCTCGCAAACTTTCTCCCACTCCAAGCGTTTTTGTTTTGCACTGACGCCACTGGACAGGCTGCCAAACAAAACACGCTGTCGCTCCTCCACCTCCGCCACCAGCACCTCCACCTCGCACGCCGTAAATGTAGTTTTTCTTGTCATTTTGTCTGCGTGCGAGGACAGGGAGACCCTATTTAAATAAATCTGCATATTTATAGGAGGGCGTAACGGGGACGGGCCCAGTCACTCCGACATCTGCGCTCAATTCCACGCTGATTGGGATTTATCAAGGAAACACACGTGGATTTCGGCGCCCGCACACATTGATACATACGGATTTTTTTCAGCGTGACGGACCTTGCGTGCGCTCGTTTCTGGTATGAGTTCCACGCAAGTGTTGATACATGAGGCCCCTGGACTTGAGCACCCAGATAGCAAAGGGTTTTGCTGCTGGCAGAGTGATGTGTCTGTTTGTCATGACTTTAACTTGCTTGGCAGAGCTTCAAGATTAAAGTGTATTTTAAGAGGTTGCCAGACTATGTACATTATTGATTAACCGACAATGAGCACAGATGGACAACAAGCCTCCGTCTCTATGATCTACACAAAACCAATTGTGGTAAGAGTTTCCTTTAACCGGCGTCCTTCGTGCGCACAGTTTGTTTCATGCACCATGTTTTTTTTTTATTTTAAGGGAATTTTTTCCAGGTCCAGAGCTGCTGCTCATGGCAGGATATGATTCATTTCAATTGTTTTCACACTTTCTTTGAAAACATGTCATAAATACAAGGCCCTGGGAGTTTCTGTTTGTCATGACTTAAACTTGCTTGGCAGAGCTTCAAAATTGAAGTGTATTTCAAGAGGTAGCCAGACTATGTATATTATTAATTTTCGCAGAAACACTTATTGATTGGAGATTGATCTTCTATGTAATAATAAAGCTCAGTATGAGAACAGCCAATACTGTAGTTCCAAGTGTAAAACAGTTGGAAAAGTCTTTAAAGATCTTTTTTCAATGCATATGGACTCACTCATCAGAATAGTTTGCTCAAAAGTATTTGCCACGTGTCTCCTCTCAGCAATCTCATTGAACACTGATGGATTGATTGTCTCAATGATTAAAGTTCTCCTCTAAAACTTTTTTCCTTTTTTCAGATTTCTTTGAGCTTTACAGAAGTGTCGTCACAAACAGAGCGTCTTTGTGAGTGAACAGAGACATTTTCTTTAAAGCAGCTCTTGCAAGGCTGGTGCAATCTTGTAATCTTCTATGTAAAAAAACACAAACTGTTCTTCCTCTCTGTCACGGCGGCGTCTTGGGATGCCTTTGTATGTTGGGCAGACGTGCTAAAATCCCATTAATAAATGAGTGAGCTGTTTAATATTCCACACTGCAGCTGCTTCCTGTGCACTGGTGCATTTTCAACACCACTGTATTCATGATTATGTTTAAAAGCAGACTATCTACTGATTTTAAGGAAACTTGACTTTTTTGAAGTCCCATTACTCCCACTTAGACTCTGAATCCTGCAGACTGTGTTGCTACAGCTGTTTGTTTCAGCATGGGGTTAATGTCTAATGTGTTGCTTAATGGAGGATGCTAGGAGGTTAGGGGATGTTGGCTTTCTCTATTGCCTATAGAGTGCAGAAAATGAGAGGTTCACATCTAACTGTTTTGTTGTAGGATTTGCTCAATTTGTCTGTTTTAATTAGGAGGTGTGGTAGTCAATGTGCCATAAGGGCTGATTTTCAAACACAGGGGCTTATTGCTGTATTTATTCTTTATCTGTCCATCTGTAGCATCTCTGTACCCATCCATGTCTGTGTCTATACATATGTGTCTATTACAAATTCAACTAAAATCTTTTTTTAAATGAATATTGATCAGCTCATTTGACAGAAGCAGCAGCCCATTTTAGCACTTGGTAATGACAGAAGGATAGCGCATCATGTCTAAGACGGCAGGAGGGAGAAAATCAACACTAAGAGCTCTAAAGTGAGTATGCAAAAGGTTTGAGAAGGCAAGGAATTTAAGATGTTGAAAACATGTAACACTAAGTCAATGGACTCTTCAAAATATTTAGCAATACTGCAAAACAATGAATGCAGCAACATTTGAAGTGAGGAGAGTTGTATGGCAGTGCCAGTCAAAGAGCAGAAGGGACAGGTGTGTGTTAGTGAAGCAGAGGGACAAACAGAGCACAAAGTTAGACCAAAACTTTAGAGACTCCAAGCTTTAACTAGCTAATTTTATGACCATCATAGTTCATATGTAGATGGAACAGCGCCAGGTTTAAATAACACTTCAGATGAAGTAAATCAAACTGGCCTTTGTTTACGAAGAAGTCATCAGTGAAGTGGTGAGAACAAGCAGCCACACTGACCTGACAACATAAAAAAAACACTTCCCTCTGATTCCTTCTACCTCTATCTTTGGAAAGAGAAAATAGATGTGATTGTCCTTCACAAGAGAAAAACACTTGAGCACAACTCTCAGAGGCATATTGAATCAACAGAGTGCAGAGGGAAACAGACTGTCCAGCCTTATCGTACCAATAGGGTGGCATAACACGACATAAGGTTTGGCCATCTCTCAAAACAGGCCATTTAGAGAAGCTGGAAAACATGTTTGGGGCTACTTTACTATCCATGTATCTCATGTGATGAAGTTGCTGAAGTTTGGTACGGACATCTAACATGGTAACATTGACTGTATATATTACTACGGACAATTGAATTTCCCTTCTGGATCAATAGAGTTCTTCTTATCTTAAAGCACAGATCAGCAATTTGTTTTTGTTTTTTTTTTCTCTTACTTTTATCTCATTCCAGTCTTTCATCTCTGCAAAACTTTATTTTAATTAAAAATTCCTTTAACTTTTTTAAAAAACACATTTTCAAGTTTAATTCTCTCATCCTCAATCTCCATTTTTATCGAGATATTGATTTTCACAACAGGCAGTATGAAACATTTTGCATGTAATCAGAAGGATATGTTAATCTACATGCATAAGAAATGAAATCTCAAACTCAGCATGTATTTTTGCATATATCAGGATCACTGGATACTTTGAATCCTATGTGAGCTGAATTCAATCATTTCAGCTGCATAAAGAAAATGTTTTTTCCAACCCAGAAGCACAGCAGTACAATAAGAGAGCAACAGCGGGGTAAGGCAGATAATATAAGGAGCTATAAACGCCCATCATGAGGAAATGAATCCACACTTACACGGGTTTAAACAAGATTTACATTTTGTTGAGGTTTCTTGTTTAAAATGGGGGGTGTTCATCTTCCTCTCGGTACATCTAAAGACATTAATGGGTAAGGAAGATGATTATGAGATCCTTCAATGATTTTCCTTCTAGATAGTATGATCAGGACACCTGACAACAATAATGTGCCACATATCTCTGGAAAACACCTTAAAAAGTGGCTCTGTAATATTGTCAAGGCAGTTGCAAACTCTTTTTACTGCTTTTCTTCCCCTTTTTTGCCTTCACAGTACATTTTATCCTCAGTCATTTCTTTCTTGGTTTATTTTCTTTGTGCACGACACTGAATGGCATTTCTTTTTACTGGCGCAACACTGCAGTTTTCTTGCACAGATCATAAATCATCTCCTGTTATCTAGAATTGTGCCTGCCCTACAGTGTAGAAGTCAGGAGTGGTTTGAGGCACCATTTGGAGATTAAAGTGACCGTGGCATGTCAGATTCCACCGGCTGACTCAGTTTGTTTCACTGTGTTTTTAATCCTTTCCAGCCATAGAATTACAAATCCTTCAATGGTCCTCCAAGAACAAACAAATTAGAGGCAGTTTTGCTCGTCCTATTGAATACTTTCATAGCCTGCAGCGCAACTTATCCTTAAGTTTCCATAGTCGTGACTTATTAAAGGGCCAGTTGTCTCTGGGGTCTTCTCTTAAATCCACTTTATGAATTATTCTCCATTCTCTTTCTCCTCAGAATAAACAATGGCTTTATTTGTCTCATTTACATGCTGCTCCACACCACCACACAGCAGCTACAATACAGCCAAGTATGGCGAGAGTCCAGAATGCTCAAGGAAGCTTTAGGAAACTTCCAAAACTTTTCTTCAAAGTGGTTCACAATTATTGCCAGGTAAAGTTCCTCACTGCATTTCTTTCAGCAGGAGAGTCCCTGAGAAGTTCTGGATCTGATGAAAACTGGAGGGGAAGGTGTGGAAATGAGACAACAATTGACTCACAAAGGTCGTGGTGGGAGCTTGCTCCACCTCAGTTAGCTTGACTTCAAAACTGAGAGAAAGAGAAAAGTGAGTAAGCAGGAAAACTATTCCTTGTCTCTGTATGCTAAGCTTTATTTATGTGCATAAAGTCGGCATCTAAGGAGTGTTCCCATTTTTGGTATTTTTCAGCTATTTTCAGGTATTTGAGATGACATTGTATAATAGTTTCTGTGAGACATTCAAAACCAAAAAGGTTGATTAAACTAGTATATATTTTAGATAAAAGGAAGCAGCTGTTTTTTACTTTGAGAAACTGGAACTGTTGGAAGTATCACCACCATTTCATTGTGTTAGTGGCCTTTTTTCTTATAACAAACTAGTTATGGAGCTACTTTATTCCCCATATTTCAAATGGTGACTCAACCCAGCTTCCAGTCAACCTACCAGAGACAGGCCTTTAGCCACCTTGCAACAGTATGTCTGCCTGTTTGATTCACCACTGTCGTGACCTTAACATCCTCAACTAAAGGTGCTCAATTTTCAAAATTACCCAGATGTTTTAATGATTTCCAAAATAACCAGCCATGCAAAATAGAAGTTAACTCTGACACAGCAGAGCCAGTTAAAACAAACCAAAATTGTGGACTGAACACAGATCTGATGGGATTAAGAGGTTAGATGTGCTCACTCCAGCTATGCTATCATTGTGTGAATTACAGGACATTGTGATCTTTTACATTTTCCTATCAGAGATGGTTGCCGTCCAGTAGCTCTTCAGGCTGCTTTCACGTGTTTACAGTTACCCCTCATTCTGATGACTGCAGTGTTTCCAATTTAACACTGATGGAAACTAACGTTTTTCCAGTGTCAACAGGCAGAGGTGAGATGCGCTGGTCCCCTCCTGTGTTTTTGTTTAATAAGACAGGTGTGGTAAGGTCCCTTGCATCATACTTGTTTTGGCGGATTTATCCCCTCTGTTTAGGGGATTTAACCAATCAGGATCAAGCTCTTAATCCAGTCAGGTGTTAGGTAATAGAGGGATTAGGAAGCCTTTAACAGACTGAAGACTACAGAATGAAATAGTTAGAGAATACTTGAAAAAAGAAGATTTCAGGCAGGAGAGCACGTTTGAATGAGGAGAGGCTGCCTCTTATTTATGCAATCTTTCATTCTGACGCACATACAAGCACATAACTGATAATTAAGGCAACAGCTCAGCCAGCTTCTCGCCTGCTTGCTGAATAAAGAAGTAATTTAAGTGACGCACACAAACATGCGCATACATATATTAATTCATAATTCTCAAACCAAGTGGACCTTTTTTCTGATCTTTTCCGCTGTTACATGCATGCAGTCTTTCCAACACACATATAAACACATGTACTCTCATTTTTACTTCTCTACCTCTCTGGCACATGCTTATTTTCCTCTGCAGAGTTTCAGTGGTGTGAAATCCCTGGTTGAGGTGAGAATTGAATGTTCATTATTCATGAAGAGAGCTTTCTCAATAGCACAGATACAGGAGCTCACACACTCATACAGGCAAACGCACAACCTCACTAGTGATTTATTTCCAGGCAGCGCATTAATAATTGATGCAAGATTATATCACCCTTTCATCCATCACTCTTTAGTTGCTGTGGATGCTCACTCTGGTCACCACTCCCGTGATTAGCTGAGCAGACACCAAATAATCTGGAGATATACTATCACACTCATGCACTACACCCTTGCCTCTTCGAGCAATGATCAAATAACAGATGGAGAGGATTACAAAAGTCAGAGTATCTCCTCTATCAGTGGTCAGGACAGTCATTTCTGGATACTGGAACTCTGGGGACTTGTGCACTAAAGTGACAACATTTCATATCTTTTTTTTACTGGAAACAGCAGATCATGAAATAACCCAAAAATCCTGTCTACTTGACTTTTAGCTTGTACTAAAAGTTGCAAATTTTCTGGCTTTCCCACCACCTATCCACCCATCGTCTGTAGTCCTTACCTTTGAGGACTGCTCCAGGGGCCAGAGCCATCCCAGCTGATGTTGAGTGAAAGTCAGGATATACCCTGGACGGGTCTTGAGTCTATATGGCAGAGCAGATAAGCCGTCACACTCAAACTTGGAGATATTTAAAGTGATTGATTGACCGTAAAAGCATGTTTTTAGATTGTGTGAGAAAGCCATAATTGAAGCCTAGAGGGAGCCCAGGCGTGTATGCAAACTCTATAAGGACAAGCCCCAAGATGGGACTCAAACCAGGAACCTTGATGTTAAGAGGCAACAGCTCTAAGTACTGCACCACCATGTAACCCCTGTCTTAAATACACTAAACCTGGTTTGTACTTCTAGGAAGAATCTGCAAAGAGACATCTATGTTCACAAACTTTGAGCGTTTATACTTTATATTTATGCAAACATAAATGCAAGCTGTAAGGTTACACTCATGATCAAACACCAACCCGACTGAGAGGCCTGCGTTAGCATAGATAGCATGCTACCACCATGTATGAAAGCCTATGACTGAAAACAAATATCCCTTCAAGTAGAAAGACTATCAAGCCATATCTTAAATGAAACAGAGATCATTTCCTTACATATATTTTAGTCATTGTTAAATATGTAAAACGGTGCATTGTTTGTTACCTGTCCTCCACCTCCACGTTTGAATTTCAAAACCTGGGACTGCCAAGCAGAAGAGAAGTGTGCCATTGGCTTAAAAGGGGGCGTGCAAAGTGGAAGGCACCATGTATGGATGATGTGGAGGGGTGTTGGAACAGTTGACTTCTGAGTTTTTGAGCCAACTTGGAAATCCGGACACCTGAGTACAGATTTTATATCTTTATAAAGAGCTTTCAAATAGAGATAACAAGATCTAATTGCTGTTGTCGAGACCCACATCCATGTATTTATTCATTTTAGAGGTCTGAAGTTTTCATTGATAGTGTAGGACTTACTGTTAAGCCAAATAACAAGGGCAAATTCAACAAAGAGTGGTCAAATAGGATCCAGACATTCTTCATCAGCTGCATACCAGAGCAAGGACCCTCATATAGAGATGCAACACTGCTCTAATCCTAATCCTCTTCATTATAGTGGTATGATAATGAGTCCATATTTATCAAAGTAGGATTAATTTGAGATGGGCATTAATATGTAGGATTTAGCTCTATAAGTTAAACCCTGTTATCCCAACGTATCCGTCTGCAGCCACATAGACATTGTTAAAGAGCTGATTTTGTGGTGCTGTTGAACAGTTACACGGGTCTCTCTGAACTTTGCATTGCTGGATTGGACTTTAGGGATCATAGGCACCTAAACTAGGATCGCATCTGCTCTGCAACTTCTCTTCTTCTCGCAGTTTGTTTTAACTGCCTAATGATCCGTAAACAGGGGCTGACAAGGGTAGACAATCTGCAGTGACCTGAACAGTCTTCATTGGGTAAAATGTGCCACAAATGCCCTAATTATGCACAAGTCCAATAACAACTTTGACTAAACTGTACAGCAAAGTGTCAGGAAATCTGCACTTACCACGAATGGGATCCAAATGCATTAAGGATTTAAAGTAAAAGTTGACTGTGAAATACAAATGCTGCAAATCTGGATTTTATGGCAGAAAAACTCAAGGGTTATAGGGAAATGTAGATAGACCTGTTCTTTTTTCCAGCAGCCTCTTGTCAGTCCTGTCTACAGAAGGGGGCAGAGTACTTCCCTGAACAGGAGCAGGTGCATAGGTGAAAAGCTGAGGCCATACTGGGTTCAGAGCTGGTCCCAGGTTGAGGATGGTTTGAGGACACTCTGTGCAGGGTTTGAACATATAATTCTGACCCTCGCTAAATCACAGAACGACTAAAATGATGACAGAGAGATCAGTGAGCCTCAGAGTCAGAAAAGCTGAAGGATGAAATGAACCCTGGATACTGCCTTAAGAGGCCTGGTAGAGGGGCTCAGAGAGCAGCTCCAAAAGCTTGGGCCAACCAGTCAGTGCAGAGGGGTCACAAGTGACACCTAGGCTACAGAGAGAGTGAAACAAAACCTGCAGGCTGTCCACAAAAACCCTGAGATAATCCAAGAACACAAGATAGACCTGGAAGAACTCAAGGTAGTCCAGGAAGAACCTGAAAACCAGAGGAGAAGATATCTGTGTGGGGGATGATCAAAAGCATTTGGGTTTTTTTCCAGAGAGGACCGAGACAGCAAATACTCCCAAACCACCCCTTACACTTTTTAGCCATTTTCTTGGTGATATGGCAAAACCCCTGAAACAGAATCAAGGGTTAGCTGCTAAATGCTAACTTGGCTTCCAGGTAATTAGTTTAACATTATGTGTATCGTAAAGCGAGAGATTCAGAGCTTTGTTCATGAAACAGCTTCCTGATGAAGCTGAAAAAAAGACACTTAAGCAGGTGTTGAATGTGAACAATGAGCTTAAATTTTCAGTCTTCGTAGAGCTGGGATTATAAGTGATAATTATCTGTGGGTTGTCGCTATAAGACAGCACTTTCACATGAGTATGTGATCCTATTGATGTATTGTTGCTATTTAAAGATGTGATGTGTGAAGATGTGGAGTATAATCTCCCACTATCATTTTCTCATCCTGATTCTCAACATAATTATAACTCATTTAGATTACTGCTGACATTTAAAATGCCCACTCATATATTATCCTAATAGGGTCATTGTCTCGTTAGCATTTCATTTCTTTGTTTAATCTCCACATGACAACCTTCCTTAAGCCTGAAATAACACAGTCCTTGAATCACAAACCTGAGGTCCCTGTGGTCAACACAGATATCATGTGACTTCCCTCGCCTTTACCCAGTGATTCACTGCTATATGCTGATTTAATTCATGACTCTAATGTTGACTTTTCCTCTTATTAAAAGGTTATCACAGCTGAGAATCAGGTCCTTATCTTTTAATAATCAAACTCAACTGTCAGGCTTCACCTTAGTCTGTCATTATGAAACGGGGAGCTGAGTTAATGATGAAAAGTTCCCATAGGTGATTGATTAACCCTCAAATTGAGTTAAAAATCTCCTCAGAAAAAACAAGCCTTCATGTTTTTTTTTTTCTGATTTAAAGCTTTATATATTAATGAGCATGCCAGGCCAGTAGGTGGCGATAATCACTCTGACACATCAGGCATAACAGGAACAAATCAGCATCCTCTTAAAGAGGGAGGAGATTGTAAACTTTTTTTCTTTTTTTTTTTTTAACTTGTACAAAGTAAGAAATTTACAGAGCCCCTCTAGTGACATTGGAGAAAAAAAATAATGCTTGGCCACCTGATAGTATCTCTAGCTAGTGGTCTGTGCTATTATGAAGTGAAAAAGCCATCATTTGTGTTTGGACAACATTTCGTCTCAGAGTTAGTGATCCCGAAAGTCTGAATCTGTGAATACGTTTCCAATTTCTGTAAATGTAAACTTGATTACTCCCTTAGATCGACACCTGTATTTACTCAAGTGCACAGGGACAGTGGCCTACGTGAAGCCGGACATGTCAGTGTTGGTAATGCTGAATGAATGAGGGTAGGTTTAGTGTCCTGGATAGACGGATGGCTGAGGCATCAGGATCCAGAGCTGCAAGAATCAAACAAACTTCCTCTAAATCCCCCTGGCAAATCCCGCCACTTAAGTTGAATTATCTCTCAGTCATGCGTAAACGTTCTCGTGGCCATGACTTACTATCTCGTGGCCATGAAACACTGACATGTGGCCATGCATTTTTATTTTTTTTTCTCCAATGTCACCAGAGGGGCTCTGTAGCAATTCAAACCTGTTCTTTGTAAACCTGCAATAAAATCTAACACAACAAAACTTACATAAACTTTAAGCATACTTTTTGGAGCATGTGCAAAATATTAGCCAATGCCACATTCAAGTTAAGGTAATGGCGCTCACCATTCCAGAACTTATGTTTCTGCAGTCCACATGATCATAAAAGCACTTTTAGATAAAGTATGAAAATTTGACTTAAACTTCATTTCAAAGTGTTGTCAAAATGGCGAATGGTGAAAGTATCTGAAGCCGTTTTGCTGCAAAGTCAAGGCCGCCTCAGTCCTGAAAAAGAGATTTGACAGCAAAATATCTCAAAGAACTTGAACCCTCTCTGATTATTCACCTTGAATAATCAGAAATGACTGACTGAAAACCTCCACAGACTTTTTGATTAAAAAGAAGGCAGTCATGTTTTTTTAATGCAGACATACTGTTTTTGCTTGGCATGATGGGGCCCTTTTCCCTCCTGAGCTTAATCACCTTTATTGTCTTTTTTTCTGTATCTATATGACAAAAGAGTTCACTATATAGGAAACTCCAACTCCTTTGTCTACCCTAGGACATGACCTAATTTCTTGTGTGTAGTTCTTATGCAGTAGAAATTACAATTAACTGAAAGGCGGTATTGTGTCAGTAAAGTCTGCCATTGGCTACACATTGAAAATTGAAAACATTGCATTAAGATCAGGCATGCTCTTTTTTTTAAGTTGAACAGTACAACCACAGCACCTGTCATGCAAGGAATTAATGGCATGAAATTAGCAGGCTGTGATAGAAGTATAAAATAAGGTAGCGGTTGTAAGTTCAGAGGTGCAGGGGAGAGGACTGAGGAAAACATTGGAGGAGAGAGCCCAGAGTTTAATATAAGCTGAAAGAGAAAAGATTGAGGCTCCGAGGAGCTAACCCGTCAGGTCAGCTCTGAAGGGAACAAAAAGATGAGATGAGTTCATAAGATAAGGAGAGACGGGCAGGAGGAAGACTAATAGAGACGGACATGCAGAGGTCAGAGACGGTGAGAGAGACAGAAATGTAAAAGGAAAGATGGTGAGTGGGAGGTAAGAGAAGAAGACAGCCTGGATGGGGAAGAGGGAGAAGACGTGGGACGGGGTGAAGGAGGGAAAGAGTAGAGACACCAACCGGAGGTTAAGATCTGGGAAACTAAAAATGAAATAGAGAATATGAAGAGTAAATTTTTACACAGAAAACTCAAGTAGCAAAGACAAGAAAGAGGCAAAACAGCGCAGACAGGCAGGCAGTACAAAATGTCACAAGTGCCGCAAATGATTAGCATTTAAAGTGCTGATTGTGTTGTATTTAATGATTACTATGATGCTTCAGACTGTTATCTCTCAGATTAACACCAACTCTGCCTGACCTCAATTTACCCACTGAGTTTTTAAAGTTGGTAAAGTTTGCTGAAGGTTTAATTTACAGATTTTGCACGTAGGCTGCTTTATTTTCATTCACTTTTTTTACAAATACCCCAAAGAAAAAGACGCTCAGGAATACAGATTCTGGTATAGATCCCATAGAGAGCGGGTTTGTGTTCTTCTTTAGTAAATTTAAAGATAGTGCCCAACAAATGAATGAAACTCCTCCGAAAACATGAGGGTTAGTTTGCCCCAGAATCGTGGTCCTGACATGGCAGCCTCTTTCTCTGCAAATACAAAGTAGTTTTTCAGACACACACCCTGGAGTAAGTGGATGAAAATAGTTAAAGGCTTTCTGACTCTTGACTCTTATCCCGTTTGGTTCAGAACTGAACATGACCAAACATTGATTCAACTATATTCGAGAATATCTTTTGTCAAGTTTATGCTAGGTGGTCTGCAGCTGATCAGCTTTGTGGCTAACATCTCCCAGTGTTGAAGAATTGTGTGATATCTTGCATGATAATATATGAGACTTATTAATTTAGGTACACCTACATTAAACGATTGCTACGTAATGTGACAGCTTCAGAATACGCAATACCATTGCTGTGGCTGTGGTGTAAGTTGATAATGGAGCTGCCTCAGAGAGGTGTTGATTACTTTTTAATCAAAACTTTGAGAACAAAGTTTGTTCAAATGTTTACTGTACTGCGCAACATCGAGAAGTGTCTTAGTGTTTGCCCAACTTTGTGCAGACAGAAAGAAAATAATAAAATCAAGAAGCAGTTCATTGTGTGAAAAATGTCTATTGGGAAGAGAAAAAAGAGAGGGGGAAACAGGAAATAGAGATAAAAGGGCCTGACCTGAGAGAGAGGATCTGACAGCTCCAGATATACACATTCAGACACAAATACCACACTCTTCTTCGATGCTCTAGCACATTATTATGAGCAAACACACACATGCACATGCAGGAGCACACAAACACACAACCTCAGTTTCATACATCTCCTCATAGACTCTATTATCCAGCTCCTTTTTTCATCAGAGGGGAGATAATACCACTTTAGAGGAGGTATGTACAGAATATCACCTTTCCTACGCCATCTGCTAATCAAACAGCATCCTATTTCTGTCAAAATGGACTGATACACCACAAGTGCAAACAACATTGTTCAATGGTTTCCCTTCTTTATTTTTGAAGAAGGGAAGGGGATTGATAACCAGGTTGATTTAAAACCCGATAGCGCATTTGTCAAAAGCCTGAAATAAGTAACGTTTAGGCTCCTCGAGTCAGCTATTGGATCTTTAAGTTAAGACACATCATGTAATTGAATCGATGACGCGCACATGTTAAAAGAAATCTTATAATGAGGTATAAAGTACACAAAGAAGAATTTCAGCGGTCAGTTACAATTGTAACCCAAAGGTTTGATGTGGGGTGGTTGGATAACTCTAATGATGAAAAACAGCAGGATAACTTTCTTCGCAGTACTTTTACTTTTCAGCTGCAGCACCATGGCAACAACTTCCTCAACAACTCCTCTTCCTTAACAATCCTGATCACATGTCACAGCACTAACTAATCAGAAGCAAGGATCTAACTCAAGGTTAAAGTGAATGAACCACATTCTGCATATCTTGCTCTCCATCACAAGTAACTGAGAAAAAAAAAAAAAAATGTTTCAACTTGTAAATATGCAAATATAAACTCGTAAACTCTTTGTAAATGTGTGCAAAGGGAATTTAAACTCAGGATTGAAAAGAGAGAGCTGCATTTGCATGATGGAAAAAGCTTGCAACATTAAAAATGAGTGGTGGACCTGTGTTTCTTTTGTGCTCTGAAAGATGTAAATGTGAATTGGTTTCTGTTTTCCTGTGCCCTGCAGCCAAACGGGTGTTTGATTGTGAATTGCATGTAATTGCAACTGAGCCAATTTTAGCTGTAGAAAATTGTGCATGTTTTGCTTGAGGAGGTGTTTAAGGGCGTTTAAGCTGTCTTTCAACATGTCATTATCACGAAGCTGAAGGTGAAATGTAATATTCAAACCCTTATCAAAGTTTGTGTTGAAATTTGAGGTGATTTTTCAGCATCACTCTGGAGAGAAAGAGAGAAGGTGTTAGGAATGGAATAAAGGCAAGGATCCAAAAATGCAGAGACAAATGTCCAAATATATTGACAATAATAAAAAACAAGGTGAACAACAGAAAATTGCTGTTTCTGGGAAAAGGCATGGTCGGCTCGGACTGCCACTGAAAAACACAAAACCAGAGTCAGGGAAAAGTCGCTGCAGTAGGCGAATAGCTGATGAAAACAAAGTTCAAATGATCGTGCCACGTGGGGCAAGTAACAACTAAGGGAGTATGAAAAGACAAAGTGCAACAGAAATGTAAACCAAAAATCTCCTCATCTGGAGGGAAAAAACACAAACACAAAATCACCTTTGCTCAAGGGACAAATCCTGTGAAAGTAACAAAAGAAACTCACAAACAAAAGCAGAGAGGCAGGCTGGATACACGGGCAGGAGAACAGGGAGCTCGGCGTGGCAAGACAAGTGTTGCATGACTAGGTAATCATCCGGCACAGAGCCGACACAGGAGCCTGCATATAAAGCCAGGTAAATGACACCAACGAGAATCAGGTGCGTGCAATCAGTCCAGGCCAGCCCCGCCTCCCGCCGTGCCTCCAGCGCTGCAGAGAGAGGGAGAACACACACAGAGGGGAGGAACACAGGAACCCCAACTGCTGCCTAAACTCAAATCCTCACAGAAGGTTTGTGATGGGAGGACATGCAGTTTATGACATTGCCTCGGAGAACATGCTGCCTTGATTAAGGATTGTCTTTTGTGGTACTTTTAACAAAATGGGATGTCTTCTCATTGCACACCTTTGATTAGACAAAGACAAACTCATCACCCTTTCATCGTTGTCCATGATTAGTAATGAATGTGTCTTCTTTTTGTCAGGGATTAGGCTGGAGATGTACTAGGAATCACCTACATGTAGGTAAATGCATGATGGCTACCATAAGTATTTGTCTATTGCTTATCTCTCATGTTGTACAGTCATCAAATCTGGCTAGTTGTTGCATACAGCCTGAGCTCTCTGGTGTGCCCTCTGTAGGTGATACCATTAGGACATGCAATGGAGAGTCAAGGATATTCATAACTACGCTCATGGCGCAGCTGGGAAGATATGCAAACATAAAGCTACACAGAGAGTATATTTCTA